AGGGGGGGGGAATAGTTTCCCTCCGAGACCAGTGGTACAGAGCCTAAAAAGATGCATATGATTAAATAGTGTATGTTTAAATCACGATCAAGGCTGCTGCTGAACTGCTGTCACGGGCCAAGAGTAGCGTGACGCATTTTGCTTATGGCTGAATGCTCTGATTTGGGTTGCGTGCACCCGGTGCAAATCTCTTGAAAAGATAATGGATAGAAAAAATCATATCTGGTCTAATTTGCTGTTGTATAAACACAGAATTGATCTACTGAGAGTAATGCTTGAAGGAGGATAATCAATATCTCGCCACCCTGTGTTGGCTGCGTCAGGAGGGTGAATACGTGCAGATTCAGTGGCAGGCCCTTGCACGGTTGCAAGCTGCGTGCGCTTTTGTCTCCCAAGGTGGTTGAAACGAGCAGAAGGCTTCGCGCTGATTGCAGAGCCTACTGCTCAGCCGCAGCAGGAGAGCTGTTTGCTAACGGAAGCATTCAGAGCATGGTTAAAATGGTCCAGGATGCATTTTTATTGGTCACTATGTATATATATTTTTTTTTCTGCTTTCCTAATTGATGCCCCCTGCGTTAGGACTTGGGCTGTCAGTGGCGTCGATGGCCAAACTAGCTGATTCCAACAGTAGCCGGCCTTTTTGATAGCACAGGGCGTCTGCACTAGAGGTGGGCATCAATACTGCAGTGTTTCTGGAAATGGTAAACATGTAGGACACTTTGCTGTAGAGGCTGACGTTGAACGACAAGTGGGTTTTTCACGCCCCAAGTTAATTCATTCAGGCTTATTGGCATTCACAGCAGATCCTAAATTTAAATCTTGGGGTTTTCTTTCTTTGTTTTTTAAATTGGTGGCGTTATTCAGGGAAACTCTCCATTGCAGCAGTAGGAAGAAGGAGAAGGGAAAAAAGAGAGGGGGAAGGAGAATCATTTAACATCTCAGAGATGTTTAGTGGCTATATAAAAGATGGATATAATGGTATAAATCAGTAGCTGATGCAATTAATGTAGCGCTTTTGGCGTTAAAAGAACTATGTCAGCTTGTGCCAGTTGAGAATCTGGTGCTTCAGCTCCTCAGTTTTATGACAAGCTCTTTGGTTCTTTTCTTGTTCGACCAGCAGAGTCCCAGCTCGAAATAAGGGTCCTGAGCACCACTGTCACTGCCCTATATGTATTTGCTATAGGTTCAGGGCACCACTGAGTTCAAGTCTTGCTTTCTGCCCCTTCTTGAAGTCAGCATTTGGCTTCACCAGCTTTTGGCTGTGCTGCTCTGATACAGCTTTGTTCTCTTACAAAGACATTTTTGGGAGGAGTAAAGCGAGTAAGTACAAGAGCAGATACAAGGGCCAAAGCGTAGTTCAAACTGAACGCGGAGTAACACGTATGTGCTTTGCTTTAAATATATGTGCATCTGTAACATAGGGAATGAAGGCACCAGGGGAACACAGCAGTCACTTTTAACGTTCCTCCCCATCCAGAGCTCTGCAGAATTGTGTTTCACTCTTGTCTATGACTACTGCAAAAAAGATAAATTTGGTTTTGACCTAAAATCTTGGAAAAAAGCAAGATGTAACCTGGGCTGTGATAAAAGCACATTGCTTGGTAGCTGCCTTATTATAATTATCCTTCTGTTCTGCCAAACTGTCTGCTAATGGGATGGAATTTTAGTAACATTTTTTTAAATCCTTCTCTTAAACTTAATTTGCTAATATGTGCTTATGGCTATCTGATTATGCAGTAGTGCGCTGGAAAGGCAGTAAAAGCGTCTGCTGCATTGAAACATCATGAAGTTGGACAAAATTAGTTTGTTTGTGTTGTGTAACCCGTGGCAACAGACTTCTGGTCCACTTCCCTGACAGCAGTTGACTCACAGTAAAGCCAAGTAGTGACTCCAGTGTGTGGGTGCATATAGGAAATTCTGCATACGACCAAGGCAGGAAAAAAAAGAGATGTGGCTATTGCGCATCCCTCGAAGTAGTATTTAATGCTTGTGCTGTAGGTGATGGTGGCAGACTGCAGGTAGGAGTGAAGCTGCCAAGTAGACAAGCCCGCTGGAACTCAGCTCCTTTACTGTTCTGATATTTTTTGGATCATTAGTGTGATGAAAGGACTTGCAGATGAAATAAAATATTTTATCTTCCCAGTTGAAAGTGCGCAGCTGACTGGTGTTTTGACATGCACTTTTGAATAATGCAGAGGTTGTTTCCGTCTCTACTCTTTTATCTCTGAAATGACACTGCAGACTGTCAGCTTTCTCACCGAATAATGGTGTATTGTTGTGTGCTTCTTTGTTGCAGAGTGATCGTCTTTTGATCAAAGGTGGTAAAATCGTTAATGACGACCAGTCGTTCTATGCAGACATTTACATGGAAGATGGGTTGATAAAGTAAGTGAAGCCTGATACCATGTTGTGATGGGAAATGTGCAGAAATGTACTGCAGATTAGCAAGGAAGAACTTCGTCTCAGTGAGCTATATCAGATTGCAGTGAAAAATGAAGATTTCACGTATGTCCTGGTGTTTGATGGAGGAACTTGAAAAAGAAGATGTTAAATTGAATAACAAATGGGTTAAAACTGCATTGTTATTAAAGCGTGGGTTAAAGGATGTACTTATATATGCTTAATTGTAGCTATCTGAGTGGCCCCACGCTGAGATGACACATATGTTGGAAGTTATCTGTATTATAACATTGCACTGAGTTAGGACTGAAGATATTTGAATCCGGAGTTCATCATCCTAATGCAGTTGGTTCTGTTTTAGGGTAGGAGGCTGGACTTAGCTGACCTCTTGAGGTCTCTTGCAGCGCTGTCTTCTGTGATTCTATGGCACGAGGATCAATCTAAAGCCCCTTAAAGTTAAAAATGAGCCTGTAGTTTAAGAATTGAGGTGCAGACCACTTTCCAGCACGCTTTTGTGTTTTTGGTCCGGAGACATGCGTTTCTGGCACATTAAAAGATACTGCGGATTTCTTTGGCAAATTACTCTTAGGAAAAAATGGACAAGCCAGAGGTTACAAACAAAGAATTTTCCTGTTTGGGCTAAACAATCAGCACATGTGCTTTGTTAATCAAGGTTAGAAGTTAAAAGAGCCGGCGAAAAACAGCTAATTAATTGCAATGTGTCATCTACTGTTGCATTTTTAAAAATAAGTCTGTGAAGAGCTAGACTGGGGAGGGCTGTGGGGGTCCATCAGGAATTTGGTAACTGGTATCTATGTGGGTTTATATTTGTGCAGGAACTATGTAATATTTATCCACGAAAGTGGACAGTATAGAGGCAAAAATTCTTCCAGTGCTTCCAAAACAATGCTGACGTGTAAATCGCTGTTAGAATCAAGTGTTGAACTGCCACTTGGCAGCCCCAGTCCGGTCCCAGTAAAGCTGCTCACGAGGCTCTTGCTGTGTTTGGCGCAGAGATGGTCTGATTGTCTCCCTGGTCCCTTCTGCAGCTGCCTGCCAGTGTGGCTGCTTCTTTTCCTTCCTGTTAAGTCTAACATTGCCCTGAGGTCCTGAAGTAATTGCACGCTTTGCTCTCAATTATGCAAAGGCTTCAACGGGAAGAATAAAATATTATCAGCTGTGTCTGTGGATCCTGTACGTTGCTTTAGATGGAGAAGGAAAACGCTAGCCAGGTTAAGCAGCAGAAGGGTGTATGTTTACAGGCTGTTTGCCTTGTCTGTTGTTCGTCTCTGACTTGCTCTTTGAAACCCGTTTACCCAGGCAAATCGGAGAGAACCTGATTGTGCCGGGGGGAGTGAAAACTATTGAAGCCCATGGCAGGATGGTGATTCCTGGAGGGATTGATGTTCACACCCGCTTTCAGATGCCAGAACAGGGGATGACGTCTGCTGATGACTTCTTCCAGGGAACCAAGGCTGCACTGGCTGGGGGCACCACCATGATCAGTAAGCTGGCTGTTTTTTCTTTTCCAAGAAAGCTCTACTTTTTCTCAGGCAAGAACAGAAACTGTGGGCTGTATAAGTCACGTGATATTTTGGACCAGGTACCAGCAGTGGGGGATATCTGATGTCTGTCTAGCCTGCTGAGAAAAACTTGTGTAGGGGTGGGGAGAGGGGTGGAAAATCAGGACCCCAGGATTTCCTCACCTTGCAGCTGTCAGTCATTTCACTCTTGTCGTCTCTGTTGGAGGCATTACCTTGCTACTTGTGTGCTTTACCAGCTTCTTGGGTCTGCTCCTACTGAAACCAGGGTCACTTTGACCTCTGGCTCCAGTATGAATAGCAGATTCTCCACATTCCTCTGCCTCAGTTCCTTTCTCCACGATGTTTATGGATAGATGTCCATCATACGGTTCACACCCAGAAGATTGATCCCCGTGTACAATATGTCTTTGAAAACTGGGCCACTTATTTAAGGATTTGCACTTGTCCGCTTATTTACGCAACTTTAGCACCACGATTTTTGTTAGCATTGTTTCTTTTGTGCTCATACCCTCTTTTGGAGGAAGAGAGAAATCGGGAAATGAAAATACCTCAGGATAAAGACAGACAGACTGACTGTTCTGCTGACACCAGGATTAGACACTCATGGTGTTCCCCTCTGGCTCTAAAATGCCTCATGAATGACTTCCAGGCTATCTGTGGCCGCTTCTGTTGGCTGTAGATGCTTGGCTTGTCAGAGTCAGGACCTTAAAACTCCATAAGTGAGTCATTGTTATTAACCTTGTTTGAGCTAGAGGCAAAAATAAAAACCTGTGTTGCAGTGCAGCTGATAGTGTAAACTGTACCACGGCGCCCTGGAGTCTTGCCACGTACGGGGATCAAGGATAAGGGTGTAAAGTGATAACAATGTCTGAGCATCTTGCATTCTTTCATGTACTCTGAGGTGCTGCCATTTCACAGGAGGGGAGTTAAGGTACAGAGAAATAAAAGAGCGTGATTCGGAACAGGTACTCCTGTCTGTTGTCCGATCCACGGATATAAAGAGATCTTAGGCACAGCCAGGAATCAGCCTAACTCTCCTCAGTTCAAACCGAGCTTCTTACGGACTAGAACATCCTCGTCTCTTTGAGGGTGGTTGTGAGGGATCTTTGATCCCTGGCTTGGTGGGTGGACTTGGGTTGATGGACGTGGAGGTTGGGAGTAGGAGCCAGTGGTCCAAACACAGCCAGACTGTGCTGCAGAAACAGCTCTTTTTCTGGGTCTGGACCTTGCAAAGAGATTGTGTCTGGCCTGTGAACTTGGTCGAATGCTTTGAATAAATAACCTGGGAGATTATTTTTTATAATGTTATCACTTTAGTATATGAAGTTGATGTATGAAGATAACCTCATGCGGGAGTGTAGCTGTGGATGGTCTCACTGTGCGTACTAATAGGCAGTTTTTCTTCAAATCTTTGCTGTCAGTTTAAATTAATGACACTGAAGTGGTATTTTCTTTTCAGCTTCAGTTCATTGCCTTTGTTTCATTGGTTGTTCCTTTGTTGTTAGAACACCTGGTTCACACTTGAGTTATCATTTTGTTCTTGCTTGAACTAGATCGAAATAACATTCTCTGTCATCTGCATCTGACATTTCAACAGCATTATTTGCCCCAGTGGCACTTCTAAAAACATTTTAAGCAGAAATTGCTTAGGGAAAGTTTTCTGAAGTAGCCGTTTACTTTGCTTGCCCAGTTTTACCTTTGCAGAGCTTCATACTTAAGAAATGCTTGGACCTTTCCGTAGACGTGTAGGTGTTTATTGCCTTTGTGACTGTAGTATCTGAATATCTCACTAATAGTGTTTGTAACACGTCTCAGAATTAGGGAGGTTGTAGGAGAGTCCCACATTTTATAACTTCTCATTTTACAGCTGTGAAAAATAAGGGCAATGTAGATTATGATTATGGGCAAACCATGTAGAGGAGGCTGGTGTCTAAACTTGACCTTACTACCTCCCCGAGTGTCTTGGATTACCATAACAAAATGAAACAATCCTCCCTGAACCAAAAACATCTTCTGAAAGTGTAGCAGCAAGGACAACAGTTGGACTGCTCAGGATGATGGAGAGACGTTTCTGAAGGGTGGGTATCAGCAGCTGGAGCTGAACAGTGGAAAGCAGAATAAATCATCCAGCTGGACTTCAAAGCTTTGGAGACTCTGCTCTGTGTCAGCTCAGCTGTTCTCTTCTTAGCAAAATTATACCATTTGCAAAAATGTTTTTCCACAAGGAAGCATACAGAAGTGCCCGCGTGAACGTGCTCTCGGTGGGTGGCCTTTGGTTTTTCCCAGAGCAGGTGGGAGTTCTGGTTGATTGCCGCCATTTTTCTTTTATGCTAAATAGGACAACGTTTAGTGAACTAGATTCATAATATTGCAAACAAATTGCAGCCTGAAGATGACGTGGTAATGTTTATGTCATTGTATATTTTCAAGACTGTGCCTGGGACTTTTTCAAAACAGAATATGCTCCTCTCATGGAAATGTGTCTAGCTGTGTGCCTACGTTCTTTGGGTGTTTTTAGAAAAGCTAGCCTCGTGGCTGTGAGCTTTTTGGAAAAAAAAACACCCATGTTTCTTCATTTGTGCTTTAAACATACTTTGTATTATTTATTTACAAATGCCTTCATCCATTTTTTCTTTTATACATAGCCCTCATTTTGGGAAAAAAAAACCAGATTAGTTGGCTTCATGCTCAATTTGTTTCACATTTTAATGCAGGAGGGCACTTGAAGGCTGTTTACTTTACAATCATAGGGAAGTATTTGGCTTATGTACATTTTTAAGTGAAATTTAAACAAGAATCTTGGATAGGTTTCTATTGATTGCTGGTTTTGTGAAAACTGTGGGTGAAATCCTGGCTTTGGCGAGGTAACGGGGAGTTTTGCATTGACCTCAGCAGGGCCAGGAATTCACCCTGTGTGTCTGGTTTGGTTTCGGTGAACTTCATTTTCAGTTCAGATCAAATTCAGTGTTGTTCCTCTAATTCTCAAGGCAAACGCATCCAGGGGAAGCACACAGGAGTTCAGGAATGTAACCTATTGTTTCCAAGCCCAGTTCTCATTTACTTCCGTTCCCCTTTAAAGTAAATTCATTATTACAGCATCAGAGATAGGAGAACCTGACTCTTGGCTGGTGTCAAATGGAACAGCCCCATTTTCTGTGCTGGATCAGTGGAGATTGATCCTGGTGGGAAGCAGGTCTGGCTTCAATCCAGAGCTTCCCAGCTCATCCACTGGTCATCTGGAAGGAGGGAGCATGGCTGGTGGAGATGATCTGAATTAGCCCTTTTCTGCTCCGCATCACCAGTGTTCCTGTAGGGCTCTCCAGTCCTTGCTTTCCTGAGCCCTCCTCTAGGTCGCTTCACTGAGGAGCTAGGACTGTTTTATTTTTCTAGCTACTCATTCCACAGAGGCCATCTGAACAGGAATTCCAGCTATGATCCTTCTGTCTCTACCCTCTTCAGTGCCAAAGGCAAGACTCTAGCTGACTTTGCTAATGTGTAAAAAAAAACATACTTGGTTTTGCTATGAAGAACTGAGAGGTGAAATGATTTACTGTGATGCAATTGTTTTTCTGAAATGGCAGTTACGTGCTCCTTCCTCTGTCCCTACCTTAAAACAATATTAGTGTGGGTAGGTCAGCTGAGGGCAGCACTACATGTTTTAGGGTAACATTACTCTGGAAAAAAACTTGGATTGTCGCCCTTTTGAAATGTCAGAATGCAGTGTTTGGGCATGAAGTTGAAGGGAGTATTCCAGGATGATCCGCAGAAGACCTTGTAGGAGAGAGCGATGTTAGATAGGCTCCAGCTTGTTCAGGGTAGCTTCCCTAAGCTCCCCTGTATTCCATGGAAAGAGAACAGTCCTTCCAGGGTTTTGGGAAAGAACTCAGTCTGCAGTTGCCTGTTGAAAGAGGCTCTTTCTTGTCTATAGAGCCACGGTTTTGTTGAGCTAAGGATGGCATTTTTGAGCCCCTGTTGTCCAGCTTGAGATAGGTTGGTGCCCTAGGATAGAAAACAGTCCCCGAAGCTGTTGGAGAAGGAGGATACCACTGCTAACAACAGGGTGGTCTCTCCAAGTCTTGGGAAGGTTTGGTCACTCATCAACTGAGATGGATGAAATCACCATCAAAATCAATGGGAAAACTCTCCCTGGTTTCAGTAGAGGCAGGATTGCCTTTCTCTGCTCCCAGCCCTTCAGAAAGGATGAAGCTAAGCTGTGCATATTTACTGGCTCTCAGAACTGTGCTTCTTCCTGGGTATCTGCTGTCCTGGAGTGAAATCGCTTGCTGACGTGTTGACTCAGTCAACCACTGTTATAATCATAGAGAGAAATTACAGTGAGAGAAATTATAGCTCTTTCTGGCTTGGTGACTTGGAAGCCAGCTGCCTTTTGAACTTGACTAGCAGTTATCCTAATAACATGGAGAATGTATGCTGGGAATATGAGCCTTTGTATCTCGGGAGGTTCAGAAAATGGAGAGGAACTTCATGTGGGCTGCAGTCTGCTTCCTGATGCTTCACCCGGCTATTAAAGAGAGCTCGTGTGTGGGGTGGCAGGGGTGTGCGGGAGTGTGAGCTGCTCAGCTCCAGTCAAATTTGTGGTGCACTGACACCAGGTCTCCTAGGTCACCCTGAAGATCACCACCTTGCTAGAAGGAAATGTTTCTGGTCTAGCGTTCTTCCTCGCCTCTTGGTTTTTGAACTGAGCATGACTTGAGACAATGGAGCCACCCCAAAGGAGATCAGAGTCTAAACGGCAATGTGAGCTTAGAGTGGGGTTTAGCACAGGGCTAGGCAGTGTTCTGGTGCAAGGGCAACTTGGCGTGGGGTGGTATTTAGACCCACCAGTGAAGACTAGATCATATTCTACCCTACTGGGTGCTGCTATTTTATGTTATCAGGGTTAGCCCAATCCTGGAAGAGAGTGAGAGTCTAAATGGCGTGCAAAGGAGGAGGATGGAAAC